GTGTTTGGTGGGATCAGAAGGGTGTGATCTATTATGAGCTGCTAAAACCTGGCCAAACCGTTAATACTGAACGCTACCGACAACAAATGATCGATTTGAATCAAGCTTTGCGTGAAAAACGACCAGAATATAAAAAAGGCAACACAAAGTGATTTTGCTTCATGATAATGCACCATCACGCATAGCAAAACTGGTCAAGGAAACGATTGAGGCGTTTAGTTGGGAAATACTTTCGCATGCGGCTTACTCACCAGACTTGGCTCCGTTCGATTACTATTTATTTGCATCGATGGGACACGCACTTGCTAAGCAGCGCTTCACTTCCTACGAAAATGTACGAAAATGGCTCGATGACTGGTTTGCCTCAAGAGAGCAACAGTTTTTTTGGCGTGGCATCCACAAATTGTTAGACAGGTGGGAAAAATGTATAGCTAGCGATGGGCAATACTTCGAATAAAATATGTTTTATCATTTTCATACAATAAACGTGTATTTTCTATACAAAAATTCCGGTTTCATATTTACATACCTGGTACGCACAGAAATATGAGAAAATTAACGTAATCGTATCAGTGCTTATCTGACGTGATGTTTTGACAATCGTCTTTACATTATCAATATTTTTAGAGCTCATTCACTTTTTTAGTAATTTGGCATTCATTCGATTCACTAAAGAGATCGAATGCTTCAATTTATTTTTACGTGTACTTTTATTGTGCAGCAAAACTTGTAATTCTCTGAAACCAGTGCGACGTAAACTTTGCAGATAAAGGTATTTCGTCGGTAAAAGTTTTCACACGTAGCATCCCCTTAAATAGTGAAACGTTATTGCGATTAGCACATGCGTTGTATCTTCACGGTCGAAAGGGGATGAGATTAATCCTGCCCGCACATATATTTTTTCTCATTTTTAGTGTAGATACATAGAGAATTGCTCGGCGCGCGCGGAGCCGGGCCTGCGCGCATGCGTCGAGTCGCGACGCGAAGGTGAGCGCGGTTAATTTGCATAATCAATTCAAAACGATGAGTCTCGCGCCTCGAACGGATCGGTCATTCTTTTCCTCACGGCCCGGTATGGAAGAAAAGCCATTCCTGGCGTTATATAAATTACGGTCGTCTCACCCAAGAGGTGCCTCTTACGATTGTCGAGACGGCGGCGTAGTGGCGGCTAGCAGTAGCAGTCGGGGGCTCTTAAGCTGCGTAGTAGCCTCGCTTCGATTCGGATCTCTGATTACGCATCGCGAAGCCGACGCGCGCTGAAAAATAAAAAAAAGGACGTGCACGCGCGGCGAAAGAAGGAGAGAGAGAGAGAGAGAGAGAGAGAGAGAGAGAGAGAGAGAGAGAGAGAGAG